TAAAATTTTACAAATATTTTCATTGCTGCGATTACCTGCTTGTTGTGTATTTATATTTAGCATTTGACCAATTTGAATATTTGTCTGCTGGCTGTTTCATCAATTAGAAAACTTTTAAAATACTGCTTCTGAACTGTTTGACTATAATCAACGTGGTTTATGAACAATGATGCTGGTAGCTGCAAACTGTGACCCGTCGATATTAAGCAAATTGATGAGAGGATAAAAATTAGGTAAATTTGAACAGCACCGGCTGATTTGTTTGAGGATTTGTCTTCGCCCTATTCTTTACCGGTGTTAATCTGCTTGCTTAGGTTTTTTGTTTTCTTCTGTTTTGTTTTTGTTTTATTTCGTCCTAATATGCCGCCTTTCAACTCAGTTTCAAGTTGCATCTTCAAGCGTTTGTTTTCTTGCTGGTGCTGTTGTTTTTTGTCATCAAATTTTGGCACTAGTTACTTTAACGACAACATTTTCTGTCCTGCTTCGTTGTTCTTTTTTTTTTCCGGGGAGGGGAGGAGAGGAGGAAGAAGGGAGGGGTGGGAGAGAGGGAGGCAGGAGAAGGGGTTGCAATGGTAACTGTCAGGGTGTTTGTCTGACTTTTATTTAATGCTTTGTAAAACAAAATTTTAATGCACCATTTATCAGTGATAATCTTTATTAAATATAGATCGGTTTCAAGGCTTAAGTTTTAAATGTTTTTTGTGCAAAAAAAAAATAAAAGTTATATATATGTCTTAATTTTTTTCACATCTGATGTGTTACTTTTTACTCCAACTTCTTCGTTTGCTTTTTTTTCCTCTATTTCGAAACAATCGCAGTTGATATTCAGCTGCAAGAAGAAATTTTAAGCTGCAAAAGTTGTTTTTTTGCGGCAACGTACTTTTTAAAGTTACAGTTACTTTCCTAACTTTATTTTGTTTAGATAAATACAATGGCAAATAAGAGCTTTTCTCTTCCAGCCTTATCGGTATCAAAAAATTGAAAAGAAAGAAGAATTAAATAATGTTAACATAAGCTGCCCTAAAAATCGTTGTTTTTTTTTTTCTTATAAAATTAAACACTCATGGATCGTTCATTTCTGTGCACTTTATTAAAAATTCATATTGCTATCAATTTGTTTGGCATAATGTGTTTTTTTTTCTTGTTTTTTTTTCTTTTTCTGCTGTAATGGAAAACTTCAAGAGCAGAGAAGAGATGAAGATTAAAGAGAAAAAAGATAGAAAGAATTATTTTCAATTGAATTTTCAATTTATTTTTTTGGCTGACGTGTTTAATGCAAAAGGTTGAGGGGAAAAGTTGGCTAAAGGTTTCAAGTAAACTATAAAACTGTGTAAAACAAATGCAGTTTAACTGAGATGCTGTAGGCCAAAAATGTGAGCATATTTGCAATATCGCTTTCGTTTTTTCTCTTCTAAGATAATACTCGACATAGGCCTGGATAGGCAGTCAAACAGTTAAAAGCTTGATCGATGGTAGTCGGAATTTAGTGACGTATTAGAAGCTTAATTAATTCTGATTGGGGTTTTGTAGAAGCGATAAGACTGTAGCTTTGGCTTTTTAAGACGTAGTTTTATGATCAAAAGTAAGTTTTAGTTGGGACAGCGAACAAAGGCTAGCAATATCGTAATTATTTTCTTTTATCATTCCTAGCTTTTTTAAAACTTTTTTCATTTTCCTTTTATTTTCCTGTTCTTAAATTTACATACTTATCAACTTATCGGGTGGTTTCTTAATGGTAACGCTCATTACAATAAGTTATCTGAAAATACTGATTAGTTTTTTATGTCCCTAACAACTTTGTAATCATTTGGAAGCCCGTATGTGGCAATTTGATAAGTATATTTTTCTAAAATTAAGACGGAAACATAATTTTGTTATTTTTCTGTATGCTAGTAAAAAAAATTTATGCTAAAAAACAGCAAAAATTATAAGATATAGCCGCCGCTCATTCAGATGCACTCAATCTTAAGCGCTCCATAAACTAGCAACAGAAAGTAGTGATGACAAATAAAAAATAAGACTAGTTAAAAAAAAACCGA